TCTGTGGTCAAATACTAGTAACTTACGGGTGTCTTCTACTCTTAAGGGCCATGTTTCGCTTCCGTAAAGTAAAACAGAACGAACTGCCGCGCAGTATACTCGTCCTTTTAATGATAGACGGATATCTCGCCTTCGCCAAAGGTGACGTAAGTTGGCAAAAGCCAAACGAGCTTTTCGAATCCGTGCTGAGGTTTCGTCAGACACCAACCCATTAGGGCTGATCAGACTTCCAAGATAAGTGAAATTGTCAAGGCGTTCGACTACTTCACTCCCTATCCTTAGTTCAGGTGTTGACGCAGACCAGTCCTGAAGCAACAACTTGCATTTAGAGGGAGAGAAGCGCATCCCAAACATTCTGGCATTGTTGCTTAGTGCTACCAGAAGACTCTGCATTTTGTCAGCGTCTTCACCAAACAGGACTATGTCATCTGCGTATTCTAAGTCGATAAGTGGACCTCCTGGAAGGAGATCAATACCCGAGAATTCAGTCGACGAGATTGTTATTTCCATCAATAGGTCTATGATGAAGTTAAACAGAAATGGAGAAAGTGGACAGCCTTGACGGACACCACTTGAGGTTGCAAAAGTAGATGACAGTTCGCCATAAGCCCTGACTCGACTAGTAGTGTTCGTGTTAAGAGCCTCCACAAGGTTTATGCACTTCTGTGGTACGCCTTTCAATGCCAGACAATGCCACAGAATCTCGCGGTCTACCGAGTCAAATGCCGCTTTCAAGGCAAGAAAGACCACCATTGTCGGACGCCGATAGGTATGCCTGTGTTCTAGAACCTGACGAATGGTGAATATGTAGTCGATGCAGCCACAACCAGGTCTAAGGCCAGCTTGGTTCTCTCGAGTTTGTAGTTCACGAGTCTTAGTTAGGCGTTTGATAATTATCGAGGCCAGTATTTTAGATACTATGTTTGTTAAACTAATCCCTCTGTGGTTGTCACAGGATGATTTTGACCCTTTCTTATATATTGGGACGATAAGTGATTGCGACCAGTCAGATGGGATAAAGTCTAATTCCCAGATCTTAGCTAAAATATTAGTCAACCTAATCGCTAAAATTGGACCACCATCCTTAAAGACTTCTGGAGCCAATCCATCTGGACCAGCTGCCCTTCCTAGTTTCAGATTAACTATAGTCTTTTGAACTTCAGCAAGAGTTGGGAGACCTACTTCAATGTTCCATTCACACTGTCTGGGAATGGAGGGTAGTTGTAGAGTAGCTGAAGGCCAGCTGAACTGTTCCCTAAAGTGTTCCGCCCATAGTTCTAAACGCCTGGACTTGGAGCAGATGAGTGTATCGTCTTTTTCCGATATAATCTCACACTTGACTTATTAATTCCAGTTTCTTTTATTAGTCTGTAAAGCTGTCTTGTGTTCCCTATAGTCGCCGCCTTTTCCATCTCTTTTGCTTTCGATGCCCACTACTGCTCACGGTCGTTTCTTAGACTTTTTCTTAACCTAGATCTGATTTGTTTTCGCTCTTCATCATGTTCAGAACCTGATGGGACGAGTTTGCGAGAATCCATCAGTGTGACAGACCTTGAAGAAATCCACTGGTTCCTTACAACTCTGGGGTTTAAGTCACTAATAGATGTCACTGCTGTTTCCACAGCTGATTGTATGCCCTTCCAAGCAACATCTGGGTCAGCCTCGTCTTCACAACTACCTAAGTGTGACCTCAGTTGTTCCTGGAACCTACTTTTGGTTTTCTCGTTACTTAACTCAGTTCTAACGGGTCTTTTTAATGTGGCTTTTTTGCGTCCAGTGAGGCGCAAGCAGATGCGTGCCCGTATTAGGGCATGGTCGGAGTCCAAGCAGGTACTCCAAAATGAGCGACAATCTTCTACCGACCCTCTCCAACGATGACTGATGGCAATATGGTCTATTTGAGTCCATCGTTGGTTTGGTGTAGGGGGTCGCCATGTTAGACGATGTCTCTCCTTATGCTTAAAATTTGTGTTTGCTAAAAATAAACGATTGTCTGAGCATAGCTGCAGCAGACGATCACCATTATCTGTTCGCTGTGTCAGAATACTAAAATATCCACCTAAATGCCTTTCTGTTTGGTTTAAACTGCCTATCTGAGCATTAAAATCACCTGCTACGAGTACTATGTCTGAGCGTTTAGCTTTCTGAAGAAGTTCGGACAGCTTTCTGTAAAATTCGTCTTTCACATCATCTGAGCTGCAGTCAGTGGGAGCGTAGGCAGAAACGACAAAAAGGCAACGACGTGTGTCCCTATCCTTCCGAGTTCTTACGTAGCCGTTCAGCCGAACAGCACATAGACGACTGTTGACGGGGATCCACTCTAGCAGTGCTTGTTCGGCCCTCATGCTTAGTGCTATGCCTACACCTGCCAGTCCACGAGAACTTGCCATCGGGTCACCAGATACACGAAGGGTGTACCTCGTTGGCTCTCCGTTTTGCCGAGGTGAGGTCAAGTGAATGACCACACTGGAATCCTGTATGCGTGTTTCGGAGACACAGCACACGTCAATGGTAAGAGACTCTAGGGTTTTAGCCAAGGAAGCCTGCTGACCGATTTGACATAGGGTGCGTACGTTGAAGGCTCCAATGTGTAGTTTGGAGCGAGGTTTCAGTAGACCTGGGACAGTATTTTGCGCACTAGAATCGTTGGCTATGGTGACACTTGAGGTGGAAGCCGAGAGAGAAAATTTAAAGTTGAAAGTCGATGTAGGAGGAATAATAGGAATTGAAGAGGAAGGTTGATTATGAATACAGTGGTCTTGAGTGCTGTTAGAGGTATGAGGGCGGTTTTCACTTCCCGGTTGCCCACACCGTGGAAGGGTTGTTCTGGGGGTACCTGAAAAGGAATTTGGATTAAAGGTGGTCTTAGTGACCTGAGAGCGTGACCGCAGTGCCCAAGGGACAACTGCTTGAGGTCGGTCACACACGACCTTGTTATGGGTAATTTTTGTGTTAGCTCCGTACTTATTGAGACCTTACCGCCGGAGACGGATATCCGTGGGATAAGGAGAGGTGTGCATTTTTAGGGTCGACCTTTTCTAACCACACCCCTCCTTGTGGGAAGGCAGCATCGCTGTCACGCTGGTTGTCTGAAGGAAACACCTTACTGCTGTCACACCTCTGTACAGTCAGCAGTACGACTTCGCCTTCGGACCTTGGGTTTGTTGCTTTTAGTCTTACCGCTCTTCAACCGACCTGTCTGACATGGTAGGACCTTGAGGAACGGTTGTTCCAGCCAGTATAGCTCGGTTGCTTCATCACGATAGGCAAGCCCGACCACCACGTCAAGGTAGCAACAACGGTCGGGCAATTTATGGTGTGTCCCAAAAAAGAACCTGAATGTCATCCATTGGTATCTTGTAGATCAACCACAACCTAAAATGTAATCAGGGCTGTTGCTCGAATCTGCTTACTCGTTATTCTAGGGTCACGTTTCTCATTATTTATTTATTGAAATCTAGATAGTAGTACAGTATGCACCACATAATAAGAGAATGTGATTGTAAAGAGGTAGAGAAAGGTGAGCATAGTATATAAAACTAAATGAATAAAAACAGGTGAGTAGGAGTAAAAGAAAATAATAGCAGAAGCAGTTCAGTTCGGAAAAAACGACCAGAGAGATTTCTTTCAGTCGTAGAAGTTACTCTTACGTTCGTGAAGAAAGTGAAAGTTACAGCAGGATCACTACTGGCTTCTGTTCTGAGCCATGTATAATAACCTGTCGAACAATTGTGTTTTTCTGTCTTCAGTATTCTAACTAGGGAGTCCTGAAGGACCAACAGAAGCCAGTCTTGCACAGCTTTCCTTTGTGCCTTGGCAGCATGTCATACACTGACCACCTCGCCACTTTTTGCAGCCGGCAACCTAACAATGCATAATTGTCTATTAATGAGGGTTCAACCGATTAGTGCTGCCTCAGCTCTAGCGCTTAATGCAACTAAAACTAGATGGTGTCACAGGGTCCCCGGGTAAACGCATGTGAAATAAGCCTTTCGAAGTGACATAAGGAGAGCAAATCTGTAGTATTTCAGCAGAGTTTTGAATATGGGTATCGGATAGACAACATACATCGATGTTGATACTTTCTAAAGACATAGCTAACCCTGTCTGTTGTCTGATCTGCATTAATGTGCGAACGTTGAATGAGACCAGTTTGAATGGCACACGTGGTTTCATAAAGGCTGTCTAAGATTTCGTATTCAATGGTAGTGCTCAACTTTCGACTGGTCAGTGACGCGAGATCGTTTAGATAGAACAGATTTTCCACCATAGAGGAGCTGCCATGGGAGTTGAAAAATAAAGAAATGTACAAAATGGGTATATACTAATAGACAAGTGACATAATGTAAAATAAAAATAAGTATTAATAAGTAGTTTTGTGTGATTTGCGGGTATGAGAATTAAAGCGCGAATAGTTTTTGTAATTGTAGTCGTAATTTAGCTAGTGAACGGGTTAGCATACCGCCCTGATGCTCAGATCGAAGCATATGGCTATTTTACGGAGCTACTTCGCGGGCATTTGATGTGGAGGTCCAATCCACAAGATGGTGGAGCATCGTTAGGAGATGCGATCCCATGTTAGCTGATGACCGGTACACCATTATTCCATAGGATCTTGACACTCATGTTCATTATTGGCTTGGAATCCGAATTTTTCAATTCGCCTAGGTGGCCCCTCCGTATTCATATTTCAGTAGCAAACCAATCGTGTCTGACCTCTCTAGGACCTAGGTTTTCTAACTTATCTTTTCTACAAAAAAGGCAGTATCACTAAAGTTGGTTATTTTAAAAATGCTAATTTAATAGTGGTTTTCGTTTAGAGAGATATTGACATTCATATTAAAGTGAGGAAACCTTATCTATGGTATTTGGATCAAAATACAGTTTTTTCAAAAACTAGTAATGCTCTTTTTGAATTTGATCGTTAGACTCGTCTACCTCCAGAGGTAAATAGGATCTTGTTGGTGAAAAACCTACCCTATAACATATCAGCGGAAGAAATGTATGATATTTTCGGCAAGTACGGTGCTATCCGTCAAATTCGCATCGGCAACACCCCTGAAACAAAAGGAACTGCTCTGGTTATCTATGAAGACATTTTTGACGCTAAGAACGCTTGTGATCACCTCAGTGGCTTTAACGTTTGTAACCGATATCTCGTAGTTCTGTACTACCAGAGAAACAAGGTATTCTGTATTGTTTTATTGTGTCGTTATCATGCTTTATATTGATTTGTATATTTCCATATGATGACGTCAACAAAAATTATTTGTCTGTAAAGTTTATACAGCCGTAAAACATCAGGGTAATATGGTAGTCTTCATACTGTTTAAGAATTTAAATGCAACACCGATAAATCAGCCGATATTAAAGCATCCTTTAGTTCAGAGCTTTTTGATAATAAGTATAAGGGCATACCGGGTTTTCTGTCCAGTATAAGTACCATATAGTTAAGGCGAAAACATTGAACGAGCTAGACGGTTTTTTGATGCTTGCATTACTCCGACCTATTTAACAAGTTTCACTTGATTGATGTGTTTGACATAGTAAACGAATCTATGCTTGTTAACCGAATCAACTTCAACTGTTTCAATCAAAACCTGTAGTCTCTGGGTTCGTGTATAAATATCAGGTTCTTTTTAACCATAACTATACGTATGTACATAATATTTTTTTGGTTGCTCTTAACAACTTCTCATTCCTTTTGTAGCAATTCAAGAAAACTGATGTAGACAAAAAGAAAGAAGAATTAGATCGATTGAAGGCAAAATATGGATTAAATACTCCGAAAATGAAATGATTCATTTCACAACGAATCTGGAGCTTTTCCGCGGTTTTCTCACACCGGACGTTCTTAAATCCTTGTGCAAATAAAACTTATACCTTTGACAAAATAATCAATAAAATGTATAAAAGTAACGTGATCATTTTTTGACAGTAAACTTCAGATATTCTGATTACATGAACAAAATGTAATCATGTTGCAGTTGTGCTGTTCTATATATATAAATATAAACCAAATGTAATAAAACAGAGGAAATTATTGTTTGCAAAGCAACCTTCATTCACAAATATAGCATTAGAAATATCAATACATAAAAACAGGTGTATAAGTAGGTTACGTATAAGTCCCGAAAAGAACTGTATTTTAGTGCCTCATTCGGCATTGATTCATGGAAAATAATATTGTTAATAAAGACTGGCTTCTAAATTTTCCGAAATGCTGTTAGGAATCATTCATATTAACTCAAACTAATGATCACTAATCAACATGGTGATAAAAACAGAAAGAAGGATTAAAAACTGGATTTTGAAGATTTTGCTAAGCTTCTGATATGAACAGTTTACCTGCAAAAAGTAAATAAAAGTAGTAGAAATAAACTAATTAGTCTTAGAATATTTTAGGTTAATTATACATGTCTCCAGGCAATCAGTCTGGCAACTTGGCAGTACAAGAAATATCAACAAGTATTAGACATTAAACTTACTCACTAGGTCTTGGGTATGAGCCACACTAGGTGCGAGGGATAGTGACACTATCCGGTCACTCAAACCGGAGTGGGGTTGAATCTGTGGTTCAGCGACTCAAGTTCGAATGCATTAAGCGCAGAGTCACCGTTCCACTATTACCAAGGTCTAGGTATGGTTATATTGGATGTGGACGATTATGACGAAAAGATATGTTGTTGTAGCATAGGCAAAATAAGACAAATTGTTAGTCAATAATAATGTGACAGATAAGGTTAGAAGCACCTCGCGGAGTTGTTCAAAAAGACTAAATTTGAACGAGATGTTGAGGTCTACAGGTACAATAACACCTATACTCTGTGGCTTATCTATAGTATATGAAAGTGGTTGCCACTCCAATTTGTTTTAGATACAACCGATTCCCCTCATTATGTGACGGAAAAATGCCCGATACAACTCAAAGCCATTTAAGAAAGAAACTGTCAAGTATACTGTAAACAACCCCCAAATACCCTGGTACGGTCGAGAGTGGAGAGGGCCCGCCCTTTTTCTCGAAATGTTCTCACACGGCTACGCGTATACAGCCTCTGCCAGGGAAGTCCTACTCACTGCCTTCTCGTGGCGGGGATGTTGTTTAGGAAATTGAGAGGACGAAAAGCGAATATCCAGCGCTTTAACCAGGCCGGTGGACACGGTAAGTTCACCTACGGGGGTTGGAAAACCCTGATTCCAAACTTATAGTGCACATGGGCTCCAGTATTCTAAAGGAACAAATGGCGTATGAACCAATCGTTGGTCACCGGCTACCATGGGGCTGCATCTCTTTACGATGTGATGTTCCACTGTCTTGTGGATCAAACCTTTAGGTCAAAGGCTTGGGGTGTGGCCCTATAAGAAAACCACCTGCTTTGGTCTAGGTACCCAGGCAGTATCACAGCCCACACACAAACAAAAAGAAATGACGATATCCACTGAAAATACTGTTCACGCTTCGATTGGAAGTCAAACAATTCAGATTATTAATATTATTACTTACGTCATTTATTCACTCTCTTTTATTCCCACTTTGTGTATTCTTATTTTTCAACTTATACAGCAACTCGCCTATGGTGAAAATTCGGCTCTATCTAAACGTTCTTGAGTCACTGGCTGGTGGGAAATTGAATGCTACCACCGAATATGAGTACCAAAACAGTTTTTCTGAAACTACGTGCACCATTCAAAATGGCTGCCTTCAACGTTCATACACTAATGCAGATATGAAAACAGATAGGGTTGGCTATGTCTTTGGAAAGTCTTAATATAGACGTTTGTTGTCTATCCGAGACCCGTATTCAAGACCCCAGTGAAGTACTACAAATTCACTCTCCATCTGTCGCTTCAAAAAGCTTGTTTTACGTGCGTTTATCCGGAGACCCTGTGGCATCTTTGTCTAGTCTTGCTGGCGTTGGTGTTTCACTAAGCGCTAGAGCTGAGGCAACACTAATTGACTGGATCCACATTAACAGTCGGTTATGTGCTGTTAGATTAGAAGGTTCCATCAAAGTGAGAAGAAATCGGAGTGAGAAACGATGTCTTTACGTCATCGCCTATGCCCCGACAGATTTCAGCCTGGATGCAATCAAGAATGAATTCTACCACCAGTTAACTGTTCTTCTCCAGAAGAAGACGCTGATAAAATGCAGAGTCTTCTGGTAGCACTAAGCAACAGTGCCAGGATGTTTGGAATGCGCTTCTCTCCCTCTAAATGCAAGTTGTTGCTTCAGGACTGGTCTGCGTCAACACCTGAACTAAGGATAGGGAGTGAAGTAGTCGAACGCCTTGACAATTTCACTTATCTTGGAAGTCTGATCAGCCCTAATGAGTTGGTGTTTGACGAAATCTCAGCACGGATTCGAAAAGCTCGTTTGGCTTTTGCCAAATTACGTCACCTATGACGAAGGCGAGATGTCCGTCTATCAATAAAAAGGACGAGTATACTGCGCGGCAATCCGTTCTGTCTTAATTTACGGCAGCGAAACATGGCCATTAAGAAGAGAAGACACTCGTAAGCTACTAGAATTTGACCACAAATGTCTTAGAAATATTGCTGGCATCTGCTGGGTAAGTAATAGTGAGGTTAGACGTAGGATATTAGGGAATGATGGTAAATCAGTTGATGAGGTTGTGAATCTTCATCGACTGAGGTGGTTGGGTCACGTGTTGCGTATGCCTGAACACCGATTACCACGACGTGCAATGCTAACCGGTGTTGGAGATGGTTGGAAGAAAGTAAGAGGCGGCCAAACCAAAACGTGGCATCAGTGCCTGAAGTCACTAACTTCTAGTCTGAGCCATGTTGGTAGATGCAGACTACTTGGTTGGGGTCCGCTTGACTATCGTAACCAATGGTTGAGGACTGTGGGTGACATGGCTCAGAATCGATCACAATGGCGTAGGTGTATAAACTTTCTGTCGTCTCTCAAACAGTGGGATTAAAATTGCTTCATATCTCTCTTTCTACGAACTAATTCTTTCTTCCTATACTATATCTTTATATGTAATCTTTCTCCTATGTATTACCACCATTGATTTGACCACTCCTATGAATCCAGTGTTCATCTTGCTGTGCTAATGCGGTATGGCAACTTGGACCGATGCATATATGTGCGTTCGACAGATATTGTAGTACTAACCGGAGACTTGAATGCTCAGGTCGGGCGTTTAGGCACAGAAAAGAGTCGTTCAGGTGGCCGATGGGAAATTATTGATCGCAGGAAAGAAAACGGGGACCGTCTACTGCAACTGTGCACAGATCACAATCTGTTTTTGGATAGCACTAACTTCCGGCACAGTCATCGCCGATGTGCCACCTGGCGTTCTCTCTCTGTATCTCAAGCCTGGACTCAGATTGATCACATCGCCACGAGCTACCGCTGGCGCGGTTGTGTACAAGACTGCCGCTCCTGTTGGAGTACCTATCTGGACTCTGATCATGCCCTGGTCTGCGCCAATCTTACCTTACTTTTCAGTGGACAATGAAGTGACCGCCACCAAAGGATTGATGTTAGCAAGCTGTTTGCAACTTCTGTTGCAAGTAAGTATCGAACCGAGCTAGCTTCTAGGCTAGCTACCATCCCACAAAAGTATAGATGAGCGTTGGTTGCAACTTCATGACGCCATGAAAATGTCGAATAAGGCCGCTTACGGATTCGCGAAACGTCCCGCTTATAAGTACCGTGTTTCTTCTGTCTCCTTACAACTCATCGAAGCCCGTCGGTCTACTCTGGGTGACCGTGAGTTTGACCACAAACGAAGGCTGTTACGTAATGAAATCGGGCAAAGCTTGCGTAAGGACCGAGAAGCCTGGAGGTCGGAGCGTGCTAATGAGCTGGAAGCAGCAGCTGCATCTGGTAACTACCGGAAGCTCTTCCAACTCATCCGAGCCATTGACAACAAGAAGTCTGGTGTGAGCGAAACAACCTGTGGGGATGATAAGGTGTCAGCCACTAACATCCATCGAAGTCTTGAACGATGGGCAAAATTCTTCGAAGGGCAGTTCAACTGGCCTGCTGCTCCGGCAACATCGGTCAGACTGTCATGGCCTTCATGGCCGGTGATGACTGATCCACCAAATGAGGCGGAATTCCGCAAGGAACTCAAACTCTTGAAGCGCTAAAGATCACCGGGCACAGATGACTTACCTCCTGCTCTTTTTAAAGATGGTGGTGACTTTTTGACTAAGGAACTGACTGTTTTGTTTACAAAGTTCTGGAAGCTAGAGTGTGTACCAACGTCATGGAATGAGTCGATAGTTGTCCCTATCTTTAAAAAAGGGTTCACGTTGTTTCTGTAACAACTATCGAGGGGTAAGTCTACTTCCGATTGCGTCCAAGCTATTGGCTTCCGTCATATTTCGTAGGTTGTTCAAAAACCCACAAAGATTGACTCGCGAGGAGCAGGCTGTGTTTCATTCTGGTCGAGAATGTATTGGTCATATTTTCACCCTCCGCCAAATGTTAGAACACCGCCATACTTATCACAAGCCAGCAATCGTAGTGTTTCTTGATAACAGGGCTGCTTCCGATTCGTTGGATAAGACTGTTCTCTGGGATTGTCTATTAAAGAAGGGTGTGCCTGAAAAGTTTAATAACATCCTAAAAGCCCTATATTAAAACACCTCAGGCAGAGTGAGGGCATACAACCACCTCTCTCCATTGTTCCATTCGAGCAGTGGGGTTAGGCAGGGTTGCTCAATCTCACCATTCCTCTTCAACTTTGCCACATTCTGGAAACAGCTCTGATGGATGCAAGTAATGGTGGTGTGGATCTGTTGCCTGGAGAAAGACTTCT